TCCTGCCTTTAGGTACTTTAGAGAATAAGTTGACCCCCCCTTTTTTGTGGTAGACCCTGAGATATTGGAACACTGTTATCATGTCACCCCTAGTCTTTTTCTTCATTAAACTAGACATACCCAATTCCAGCAGCCGTTCCTTACAGTATATGATTTAGCCTCCAGTCCCCTAATCATCTTTGTTGCTCTTCTCTGTACTCTTTCTAGAGTCTCAATGTCTTTTTTACATCGTGGTGACCAAAACTGGGTGCAGTATCCCAAGAGTGGCCTTACCAAGGTGTTATAAAGTGATATTCACGTGATTTTGATTCTATCCCTTTGTTAATGCAGCTTAGAACTGTGTTGGCTTTTTTTGGCAGTTGCAGCACACTTCTGGCTCATATTTGTGACCTTTCCAGAGGGTTTCCAACAAACTCAATATTGCTTAAAAATCACAGTGAGTCACTTAACAATCGTCCATTGCTTCTTGTTCTGCCTTCAGGTGCTTTGGAGAATAGATTGACCCCCCTTTTTTTGTGGCAGCCCCTTAGATATCGGAACACTGTTAACATGTCACCCCCTAGTCCTTCTTTTCATTAAACTAGACATAGCTGCAACCCTTTCGTATATTTTAGCCTCTATCACTAATGATTCCACTGTAGCTAAAACATTCCCATGAATCTAAGTCACATATTTCTGAACATGATTGCCAATATCATCCCCTTTTCTTCAAGGAAGAAAAAGAATAATAATTCTCAATCAAAAATGGTTTGAATTGCCAAACAGGCCCTTTGATCTTTACGTATGAGTCATTTTGGAAGGACGAATCCTTCCAAATCCATAGCCAAGATGGGATAACCTAAACTGCTTTCTGGAACAACACATAGGTCTTTTTATGCAGCAGTAATTTTTATGCCACCTCCACGAGTCAGCAGTTCAAAGTATAAAAAGGGAATTGGAGAGAAAGAGTGTGTGTGTGTGTGTGTGTGTGTGTGTGTGTGTGTGAGAGAGAGAGAGAGAGAGAGAGAGAGAGAGAGAGAGAGAGAGAGAGAGAGAGAGAGAGAGAGAGAGAGAGAGAGAATGAGCATTGGCTATTATTTTCAAATTACTGACCACACAGAGAATTCTCCATTCACCAACAATTGGTCTGCAAAGAAGGTAGGTTTTGAGGAATTTTTTCACATTTTCTAGAATGCCGATCAGGCCTGCTGGAATTTGACACCCTACCAGACAAATTGATAAGAGTCTTAAGAATACAACACCAGTTTTAAGAACTGGGCTTGGTTATCATGCTACCGATGGACAAAGGATATCAAGTGAGAAGGTTTTCACAATGCACCTTCCCTTATGTAGTCCTCTACCAAAGTGAGATGACTTAAATCCATCTATTACAAAGACTCAGCCCAGCCTTAATAATTGCCAAAGGTCTGTGGAGATTCTCAGTCATCCAGGTCATTTTTGACCCAAAGGTGCTTTTTCAAAAGGCAACTGGATTTTCTTTGTTTTTCTTGAAGATGTTTCACTTCTCATCCAAGAGGCTTCTTCACCTCTGAACAGAAGAAGCTTCTTGAATGAGAAGCGGAACGTCTTCAAGCAAAACAAAGAAAGTCCAATTGCCTTTTGAAAAAGATAACCTTTATTGTCATTTTTTTCTGTGAAAAAAGCACTTTTGGGACAATAATGTCAAAGGTTTTGTTTGTTTGGTTTTTTGCCTATGTTTTACCACCTTCCTCCCAAAGGTGCTTTTTCAAGGAGCAACTGGACTTTCTTGTTTTTCTTTGAAGACGAGTGCATTGCTGGTTTGAGCATTACTTCACTTCTATCAGCTGGGATGCAGGCCAAAGTCCTGAGCCAATGCATCTGTCTTGCAACAGAAGGGAACAGCTGTAGCTTAAAGTGCCATTGCTGTTCCCCAGTTTGTGCTGTCTGCCTGTTTGCTTTATTCTATCAAATAATAGGTCAGCCCTGCCTTTGGTCAATATTCTTAATACAGCTACCTCCCAATCCAAGTTCTATTAAATAAATTAAATTAGTCTAAGAAATGTTTCTAATCCAAATATGGCCTTGGTCATCCCTTCTTTTTCACTGGGGTGATATGATGCAATCTGTAGAATGTATTATAAGATTATAAGTCTAGAAAAAGTTTCTAATCCAAATATGTTCTTAAACATCCCTTCTTTTTCACTAAAGAGATAAGATGTAATTTGTAGATTTTATTTCAGACCATGAAGTGTTAATAACAAAGGTAAGAAAGGAGGCTCAAGAACACTGTTTCTCAACCATGGCAACTTTAAAATAGGGGGATTTCAACTGGGGAATTCTGGGAGTTGCAGTCCACCTATCTTAAAGTTGCCAAGGCTGCTCAAGACAATAGATTTCATTGCCATTAAGTATGTCAGTATGGAAATTAGCCAGCTTTTGTGTAATCCATCAAGAGGGCTTTGGAGCTTAATATGTTTTGGTTTCCAGAGGGTTTTTGCTTCAAAATACTTCCTATTTCCAGCATTTGCCCCATAGCTAATGAGTAAAGGAATCAATTGTTTTGCATTTGGGAGAACTCCAGTCTACTATGGGAAAGTGATGGGTGAGCCCCAGTTTTAAAGCTGGGAATTTGGATTTCGAAGTAGAGGATCAAAAATTGGCCTCAGTGCACTCTTGCCTCTGCTCTGTCCTCCAAGTGAGCCATAGCCAGGGTGGTATGCCTAAAACTGTGTCCTGCAAATCAGGAGTAAGAGAGTTTCATTTTGTGAACCAGTTGCAAACTATTCAGTACTACAACTGACTTCTATGTCAATGATTAATAATCAGGCTAGATTTAATGCAGATGAGAGGGTCTCATATTATTTATTGAACTTATTGATTATTACTTATTATTGAATAAGAGTACATATTTAATTTCCTGTAAAATGATTTTGATTAACAGGAAAATAGAAGCTTCAAACGTTTCCTCTTTAATGCCTTCAGAAGGGCAAAGTCATATATGTAAGGGCTGCACCAATCCAATATTGCAGTTAACCTTCTTTGCCTGCATCTTATTGTGGCTAGTGAAGAACTTCTCACATGAGATGATTAACTCTTAGCTCAGCAGATACTCCAGAGAGATTTCTGGAAGGGATAGTTTGGAAGTGTTTTGAAGAGCTACAGGCCAAGTGGCTTTCCATTGCCAGTAGTTCCCAACTTGTCCTGCCCCCTATTTTTCATATTTCCCAAATCCCTCCTCAAGGTCACATGACATCATAGAAATGGAGGGTTTCCCTCCATCATTCACAATCCTTTGGGCCAGCTCAGTGGCTGGTGGTTACTTTCTTTGCTGCAAAGAAAGAAATGTGCAAGGGAAGAATGAAGAAGAGAATCCCAAGGATATTTATGTCACTGTTTGAAAATCTTGTCAAGCATAGGAAGGACAAAGGAACCCCCTTGGAAGCAATGTAAGGAACTAAAAAAAATCATCTTTGGGTCACCGAAAAATTTATTCTGTGTCTCTTACTCCACAAGATCTTTCCATCTATGCCTTCATGATCTTAAATAGATATGGTCTCCAGATGTTTCTGAATTAAAACAATACCTCCCAGCATCCATTAGTATTGCCTAGGTTGAATGAAGAATTTTAGCAATATATGGAGAGGCAAGGATTCAGTTAAAGGGGAATATGGGGTAATAATTTGCTTTAAAAAATTAAACAGAGTTTCTCACAGAAGAAATTCTATGCAGAGTATGCATTTCCAATTTTTGCACTTGAGACACAAACAGAAAGTTGCACTGTAGTGCTATGTACTTATATATGCTTACATACACAAGACATTATCTTTTTGCTCTTATTGTTTCTTTTTTATAGTTAGCAACCTAAGGCATTATATAACTCCATTCCAAAGCAGAGTGAATAATAATTTTAAAAATCCAGCTATTTTAGAAATAGTGATACAAAGGTGTAAACTCTTGCATGAACTTTTGATACATGATTTTATGAGTATAGCACTCTTAGGCAAAACCGCACTTAAATCTTGCCAAATGTTTACAATCCCACAAGTTTTCAATCATTTTTTTAAAAAAATGATGTAATTTGAGGTATTTCACACATAACTTTCTGAGGATGATAGTTATGGTCCCTACAAGCACCTGGTAGTTGACTTTTTGACTTAAAATTTTATCACACATTTACCAAGATGTTTTCAATGAGAAGCATCAATGTTCTGGTAAGCTCACCTGGAAAACTTCCCCTATTAATTTTTCTAGCTATACATAGCCCCAAACTAGCATATGCACTTGTGGGCAATCTTGGTATCCCAGACACTGTTGGGCTACAACCCTCTTCACCTTCAGCCAGCTTGAGAAAGGCTGGGAAACGGGAATAATTCTTGGGTGTGCTCCACTGTTTCTAAGAGGTACAAGACTCAACATAGGTAAAAGCCCATGTGAACCGAAAACATGCTTTGTTAAGATTCTCAGGAATCCTCCTCAATCTACCTGGTTCTGTGTACAGATAGTCCTCAACTTACAACCATCCATTTAGCAACTATTTGAACTTACGATTCAGACAAAATTGGCTTACAACAGATCCTCACAATTAGGACCATTGTAGCATCCCCACAGTCACATGATCAGAATTCAAGAGTTTGGCAACTGGCATGTATTTATAATGGTTGCAACATCTTGGGATCATGTGATCGCCAAATGTGATCTTCCCAGCCAGTTTCTGACAAGCAAAATAAAGGGGGGGGGGACCTGATTTGCTTAACAACCATGTGATTCACTTAACAATTGCAGTGATTTGCTTAACTGAGACAAAGAAGGTTGTAAGATTGGGCACAACTCTATAACCACCTTGCTTAGCAACATAAATTCTGGTCATGATTGTGGTTATAAGTCAAGGATTACTTGTACCTCCCTCCATATAGTATTAATTTTTTAGCAGGAAGAGTATCTTTAGATGCCAGAATGTTTGAGAATCACAAAGAGCATATAGATTTGACTCACATAGATGTAATTTTTAACTATTTCTGCCCATCCTGTCTCCCCCTTACCTGCCCGATTAATCTCGATTATCTCCTCTTGAGCCAGGGGGCATGAGTCACCCTGGTTGCTGCGATGAGGGGACTGCATGTCCGGTTTGCAGTAGTTGGGTGAGCCAGGTTGGGGGGCTCGTGGGATGTGCTTATTCTTTTTCTTTGGTAGTTTCTGCTTGGCCATAGCCAGCGAATAATACATGCCAAAGTTGTTGACGATGACTGGCACAGGCATGGCAATGGTCAACACACCAGCCAAGGCACACAGTGCTCCCACCAACATGCCTGACCAAGTCTCAGGATACATATCACCATAGCCCAAAGTCGTCATGGTCACTACAGCCCACCAAAACCCAATGGGGATGTTCTTGAAGACGGTGTGCTTGCTGCCCGTTATGTCGTCTGGGTCAGCACCGATCCTTTCAGCATAATAGATCATGGTGGCAAAGATCAAGACCCCTAGGGCCAAGAAGATGATGAGGAGCAAGAACTCATTGGTGCTGGCCCTTAGCGTGTGACCTAGGACTCTCAGTCCTACAAAATGCCGGGTCAGCTTGAAGATCCTTAGGATCCGAACAAATCTTACCACCCTCAGGAAGCCCAACACATCCTTGGCTGCTTTGGATGAGAGGCCACTGAGGCCCACTTCCAGGTAGAAGGGCAGGATGGCCACAAAGTCGATGATGTTGAGGCTGCTCTTGATGAATTCCATTTTGTCTGGGCAAAAGATGACCCGGATGAGGAACTCAAAAGTGAACCAGATGACGCACATCCCTTCCACGTAGGTGAGGAAGGGTTCTGTTTCCATCTCATAGTCCACCTTTATGCTGGTACTGTTCCCCGTCTTTATGATTTCTGTCTTGTTTTTGAAGTGGTTGAAAGCCTCATGGGTCTCTAAGCAGAAAGTGGTGATGGAGATGAGGATGAAGAAGAGGGAGGCAAAGGCCACATACTGGAGAGATGCAGAAGGACAAGAGCACAGGGAAGAAGCAGACAGAGAGGAACAGCAAGGAGACGAGAATGTCAGACAGGAAAGGACAGGGAAGGAAAACATTAGTGCTAACTCATAATTGTAAAAGAACAAACTCTTCCAGAAAAGGAAGAACTTACCCTACAAAAATCAGCCCTTTCCCAATAACTGCCCCCTCCTCAATAAATAGCTGTTAAGAATATCCCAGGAGATAGCAAATATCCTACTTATTCTTCCTTTCCATCCCAATGTTAGTGAAGGAAAACAGGTATGGGGTAAGAGGGAAGGACATATTTCATTTTTTTAAATGTGGCCCACTTAAAAAAAATCTTCATACTATACCTAGACAATTAGATTAGATATTGATGTGTTAGGCTAGCTTTCTTCTTATGCAAAAAGTTTTTTTTTCTTTTTAGCAAATGGAGGGATTGTATTTAAAAATGATATCCCATCCCTTGCAGTCGTTTCTGCCATTTTAACATATCTAAGACAGCTCTAATAGCTATTGGAAGAAAAAAACCTACAAAACGATGTAGCAATAAATAATAATTATTTTTTCTATCATTTCTCTGTTTTATTGTATATCAACCCTTATGTTACAGAGATCTATTTTAAGTAGCATGCTAAGATGGTGGCTTATCTGCTTATTGCACTCTATTTGTGCACTCTATTACCTATTAAATGGATTGATCTGCATCTGATTTATTATGGTTTAGAGGTGCTAACCATGTTTGTGTATGTATGTTGCATATATATGTTTTCTTGTTGCTGTCATTAAAGTAGAAAAATCTTACTGATCTATTGCATGTCTATAAAGATTTACCAATAAATCCAGATTGTTTTCCAACCCCAGCTTGTTAGTGTCTGCCCCTTTTTTGGATCATGGTTCTTTGGTGGGACCTGTTTCCCAATGTTTTCTTTCCATTTGACTGGACCCGGGGTTTTCAGCAAATCTCTACTCTAAACAATGCCTCCTCCTTGAATTCATAATAATTGGCCATCATGTTTAATAGCCATCAGTTGAAGGTTGGTCTGGTCACTTTCTAAAGCAGTCTTCTTAAATAGGGTACCCTTCAACTAGGTTGGGATGGAATTCCCACAATTCTGGCTAGCATTTAGAGGCCCCAATTTGATTTAAAGCCATCAGAGACTAGAGGAATCCCAACATCTTGTAGGGATAGCCAGGCCTGTCTCTGCATGCCTTATGAGAGAGGATAGACAGCATTGTCTTTCTTGAAGGAAACTTTTCTTGGAACTATAGTATGACCATTCCCCAATATCCCCATTTTTTTTTACATTTTTATCTCATCCTTGCTCCAAAGAAACTGAGCTGAGTCCATATTCCTCTATGCTTTACGTACAACAGTTTTGAGATTACAAGTCCAAGATTACCCAGGGAATTTTATAACCAACAAAAGATTCATAAGTAGGCATCCCCATCATAGCCTAATGCTCTAACCCAGAGGTGTCCAACCTTGACAACTGTAAGACTTCTGAACTTCAACTCCCAGAATTCTGGAGTTGAAGTCCACAAGTCTTAAAGTTGCCAAGGTTGGACACCTTTTGGACTAGCCACTCATTCTTCATTAATTCTCAGCTGATTGTGGACTTGAGAAAAACCGTATTCCATTAGTTGGTCAGTTATGAAATTCATTCCATGATTTGGGGCTAATTATTTTTTTTCAGTCCAATCTACCTTGTAAAACTGATGCAGTAAATGACGGGGGGGGGGACGAAAAGAACCTGCTTTATTCCTTAGAGGAATAGGAATGTATTATTACAATATAATACCTATTTTAGCATTCACCCACTGACAGTTGCGTTATGCAGGTACATAATTTGCTTAGGTGACACTAAAGTCAACATTTTGAACTGAGACTCTGAACCTGAATACAAAAAAAAAAAAAAAAGAACCCAAGGAAGTTTCCTTCCCTTGTGACTATATTTGTTCTTTAATTTGCATAGTGAATGCAGGTTGCAGATTTTCCCTTGGTGTATGTTCTGGTTTATTTTTGGGCAGAATTGCAGTGATCCTGTCATGGCTCTTTTGAGGTCAACTTTGTTCCATTTTTTTTGTTTTATTTTTTTCAGACTGGGAATTATAGGTTGTAAACCATGCAACTTGTCCATAAACCATTGTGCCATTTAGGGAAGAAGCTAGGGATTTAAAAACCCCTTACAAGGGAATTTTGAGTTGGAATTTCTGCTCTTTTTCAGCAAAATGTTGAATGTTTTAACTATCCTAACATCAGTAATTTGGATGAATCTTAACAGAAAGGATTCTGTTAAGACTTCAGGCTCAACATTCACGTGCCTTCTGTTACATCATTCTCCTATTTTAGTCCCTTGAGAAAACAGTGAAAGCCAGCAATGACGCAAACAGCATGTGCTCCCTTGCACATATACTGAGCACTTCACATTCATTCATATTCCCCCATTGGTATACACACAACTCACACAAGATCTGATTGTCCAGGAGTTTTAGCTGCTACATCATTACCAAATGCTTTGTCACCACGTGGGATCTGTCCTCTGAAGTATGTCCCATATGCAACCACATACAAGCAAATATTTACATGCAATCTTCAACTTATTTCCCCCCCAGGCTTTGAATTAATGCTCATGTGTACAAGTGTACAAAAATCACTTTCTCACTTCAACTTCTTCTGCATGCATACACCCCCCAATCCCCTCCCCCCCCCAAATTAGGTTTCTCCCAACCATAGCCAGCCTACCACTATTTAACACATTCATCTCAGTACAGTTTTATAGGCCCTATATGAACTTGGGTTCTGAGGAGATTATACCTATTTATGCATTCCTTCCACAACTCACTTTGAAAATTACAGAACATGGGTGCATGTCCATATCTCTCTGTGACTCTACACACGCACCTACAGTACAAATGCTGATCTACCTACAGTATAAATAAAGTCAGGGTTGAATGGAATTGCATTTACCAATTTCAATTACATTTAAGTTGGTTTAATTGCAGATTAAGGTGCAAACAAAGTTTTGCATATATCTGCAGTTAAATACAACTACACACTCCCTTTCATAACATATTCTATATAAAATATTTGTTGTACACTAAAAACCTTTTTTGGGTGCACGTTTATATATTAATGTGTGTGTATATCTCATACAAAGATGAATTTATATCCTCATGCACTGTTTGCTCTAATGCACCTAGAAAAGCTCTAGGCTATGCACCAAATATGCCTTTATACATGCATGGAACAAAATCTTCCTTGGCAGTGCAAAATCTGTCCGAGGCTATGCACATACTTGAGCTTGGTACACACACCACAGATGCATGCATGTCATAACACAGTGCAGGCCTGATTGCCCTTGCTTACACAACTACATACATAGATTCCCCCGTTCATATTTACACTCGTGTGCAAAACTCTCTTTAAGTCTCTACTCTCATCTCCCCTCTGCAGGGCAAAAGCTTGCTGCCTGCTCTCTGCACTGCACAGAATTCCCGTCCCGTCAGCACTTTCTACAAGCGAATCCTAGAATCCTTTCTGAAGCGCAGTGCGGTGCCCAGGAACTGGAGGGGGGTGAGAGCAGGAGGAGGAAAAGATGAAGGGGAAAGCCAAGGAATCCAAGGGAAGGGAGGGAGTTGAGGAGAATAAGAAAACTGAGGATTAGAGTAGAGAAACTGTTTGGGCAGAACCTTGTTTTTACGAATGGCATTCTCCATGGAGGGAAGGAGAACAGGGACAGATCTTTTGAAATCCCAAAGGAGTGCTTTTCCCAGAAACCATCTAGTGGTTCTGACCCACTTCTAGAGCTGTGTGTATCACATACAGCTTTTCCAGATGCTGGAGGTTTGGGGAAGCAGGCTGATGGTGCTCTCATCCCTTAATGCTACACACTGTAGTCTGCATTCATTGCCCTTGCAAAAAGTAATGAGGAATAGGTCTACATGGGACTTTTTTCAGGCAGCGCTGGGAGTCCCAAATCATTCAGATGGAAATAATGACTTCTGTCTCCTGGGAGCCATGACATGGTTGGCGACAGAATACGTGGGGAAGAGAATAGATATTACTCATGTAACTGTTCCCGGAAGGTGTTTGTGAGGCAGGAAGGAGACCAGCACAATGTCACACAGTGATGGGGTGAAATGCTCAGAAAGACATGATCAACCTGCCTCCAGAAGCAGTGAATGCTCCAACACTGGAAGTTTTTAAGAAGAGACTGGACAGCCATTTGTCCGAAATGGTATAGGGTTTCCTGCCTGAGCAGGGGGTTGGACTAGATGACCTCCCCTTCCATCTTTATTATTATTACTATTATTACTATTATTATTATTATTAAAAACTCACCACCATCTTTTAAACTTTTCTTCTTCCAGAGAATTCCCCAATTTTTGGTCATGCATTCCCTTCAATCCATTAGGACCTTTACTAGGGAACTTGTGACTGTTATTGACTCTGCTGCCTTGGCTAGCCAACCCCCACCTTCCATCTTTTCCCAGGGCTACGACTGTCCTTCTGTCAGTGCAGGAATAGTCCTTCTTTTTTGAAATAAATGAAGAAACATATTGCAGTAACAGATGGAAGATCCAGCAGGGGTGGAAAGAAGGAAAGGAAAAATAAATAAATAAATAAATGTATGTGTGCGTGCATGTGTGCGCATTTGGTATAGGGCACAAGGTCAAAAAATAGGACTTTATTCTTAAATCTCTCAAAAACAGCCTGACTTAGTCAGCATTATTCCCTGAGATGACCGTAAACAGGAAATGAATATTCCTAAATATTCAGGAAAAGGCTGGGGCCTGTCTCATTAAAAGATAAGATAGTAGGCCTCAGGCTTTGCAGGAATCATTTTGCTAGAATCCTCCAGATTAACCAAAGAAATCTCTGAGCCCAAGTTCAATTCAGAGTTTGTTTTTATCCCAGAATCATCAGACTTTCAACTCCAGCATCCTTCAGTTTCAGATTTAAGATGACGGAGCCTTCTTATTATGACTG